GAAGTAGCTGTTTAGTGCTGATCTTTTCTCTGTGTTGATGTGGAATCTAACTAGAACAATTAATTTGAATTTAACTATCACTGCTGCTGCAGAGAGTGAAACCCAAGAAACATGGTGCTTAGCGGAAGTATTCCCACTAACTTCCAATTAAAACCTAAAGACCCTGCTCCCAAATTGCCTTGAGATTATAAAAAAGGAATGTATAAGGCTCCCCTCTTGATAGCCCAAAAGCTGTATCTCCTTCCTCAGGAGACCATCAAATTACTAGGAACATCCTCCAGAGACCTCTGTAGTAGCCCTCTTCATTAAGACAGCAGTACAAAGAGAGGGAACTGAGGTGCTCACAGACCCCACAGTATGTAGAGCCAATGCGGTGTTGAAATTAATAAACGAAGTAGGGATCTTGGGAATCAGACCCATAGCTGGTTTTTTCCATAGCTGAAAGCACATTTCATCAGTCTTTAAATGCCTAAAGGAGGTGATCAAGGTTGCAAACTGATCAATGACACAATTCTGGATGGGCTGCTGGAGTGGTTATGTGTCAAGCTTTGTGGTTTGAACGCTGGCAGGAAGTTCATCAGTCAGGAGCTAGCCTTGCAGTCAAACCTTTTGTGGAAAAGAAATTGTTTGGTGAGTCCATCAACTCTGCTAATGGAAAGCGGAAATAAAAAAGTTATTTCCCCTCAGCACTAAGAAAGAAAAGTAACATATCTTAAAAGACTTTCTGTCTCCATTCAGTCTAGAGTACATATCAAGCCCTTTTCATTTTGCAAACAGGCAAAATATATGCATGAGAATTCAAGATAGTACAAATATTTTAGCAAGTCTGGATGGAAGTCAAAATCCCAGGGAAAAGCAACACTGAATCATGATACTCTCTCCCAAATGAGGGGCTGGCTAAAGAGTTTTTGGCCCACCTAGGATTAGTCCTGAAGGGACAAGTGGGAACTAGAAATAATTCAGTATCAGAACAGTGATATTAGGACAGGTTTCTTCCACCACCCATTTCCAAGAATTTGGAAAAGCATAATAGGTTGATGAAAGGGATAGACTACCTTCAGGACATACAGGGAGTAGAAAAATCCTGACAAAAGAATAGTTCTTTGACTATTCTGTGTTCTTTTCTCAGTCCTAAGGAAGCATGGGAGTAAGAGCCATTCTGAACCTCCAACTACAGTTTTATCTGACACTGATCCTTCAGAGTGGAAAGTCTGAGATCCAAGACAGAGACATGATATTAAAAAATGATTTTTTAGTATCTGTAGACTTATCTGTGATGTACCTGCATATTCCCATCATATTGGTATACCAGTAGTTTTTAATATTTGTATATGTGAAGAAGCAGTTCTAATTCAGAGCACTTCCATTTGGTCTGGTTCAGCACCTAGAGCTTTCACAAAGATGATGGCAAGACTGGTGGGATACAGCTATGCCTTTTAAAACAATCTGCTTATCAGAACCCTCTCAAAGAAAAAGAACAGAGGAGCATCAGCCAGACCCTACAGTTCATAATTATTTTGGAAAAGAGTTTACTAACACCTTCAAGTAAATCTTGCACCTGGTGCTCATTGACACATAGGAAAAGAAGCTTTTCCCATTAGAAGAGCAGAGCATAATGCTCCAGAATGCATTAAGAGAGGTTCTGATAGCCAAGGTGCAACTTCTTGTAGCTCTAGCAAGGCTGCATGGAATGATTATTGAAACATATATTGCTGTATTCTAGGCCTGCTTCCATTCCAGACCACTTCAGTGGATCTTCATGCCATTTTAGGACCAGATCACCAATTGGGCATGTTTAAGCCTAGGGATTCTAGACAGGGTGACTAAGTCCCCACATTAATGGTCAGCAGTCTGCCAAGGGGAATGCTGCTCAGGGAGCCAGTCAGAGGCCAAGCCTTCCATACAAGTTGGCACTGCCCATTAGCTAGAACTGAGAGGAGTACGCTTGGCGTTAAGTGCACCTGGGAAAGGGGGGAGGGTCATTTCTTAATAGGGACAAACAATGTCACCGTAAAGGCTTATATCAGCTACTAGGAAAATGCTAAATTGGAGGACCTCCAGAGAGAGGTGTCATGTATGATCAGTTGTTTGGAGATATATCTGGCCTCCCTGGTTGAGCTAATAAAGCCTATCATAGTGACAGTGGTCACTGCACTCCCAGATTTTCCCCAAAATTTCAGGATAGAGGACCCTGCTAATATCATAGTATACTCTGTTAGAGCCTCTGTGGCTCTGACAGCAGGGATTCTATCAGAAGACATCTGCAGGGTGGCAGTTTAGTGAAGGTTGCTGCCTTTAGGAAATATTGCAAGATATATTTGCTTAGTGGAGGCAGCGTTTAGGTGTTCTGTACTGTAGAGAATACTGCACCCTATCACCCCTCCCCATCCCAGGATATTGCTATTATGTATTCCTTTTCTGTCAATTCCATTTTCAGTGACCAGGAATGATACTTGGATTTACCATAAGGTACCATTTTGGTCAACAGAAGATGGACTTAACCGTCAAAGGACTATAATAATAGTAGTAATAATGATAAGGATTGCATTTTTTTCTGGTTGTTCTTATTGTGCCATGTGGTCTCAAGTAGTTACTTGAAAATGCTTATCTGTAAAGTGCTTTTTTTTTTTTTTCAATGAATAAAGATGTTGATAGGTTTGTTCTTAGCTGAATAAAATACAGATGATTGGAGGGGTTCATCTCTCCAGATGTAGAAGTCTAAGCCTTGCCTTCTTACTAGAAGAGGTGAAATTAACCCTTTCCTTTAGGTCCATCTTCCAGTGACCAGAATGATATCTCACGGTAAGTGCCATTTTTCAGATTATCGTCAAAAAAGTGTGGGGATGTTTGTTCTGCAGTGGTAGGATCTGGGTTCTTTGGAAGAGTGATGAGTGGGACTTAACCATTAGTAAGGTTTGCCAAAGAAAGGCTGAAAGCTATTATACTATATAATATTCAAGTGTAAACATAATATTTTTAACACTAAAAACTGGTAATTGCTTACTTCTACTCAGTATCTAGAGTAAGTTTCACTTACATCTTTTCCCTGTAAGAACAAGTTTAATGCTTATACTTCTAAAACCTCAATTCTGACTTAATTCTTTTTGTAAAATAGGCAGTTATTTCAAGTCTGACACTCATAAACATGTTCAATTTCTGATGAATAAAACTTTAACCTTTTGCAATACTTTGGTATTAAATAGATCAAGATGAATTTTGATTAAACAGTAATATATAATGTGTATCAAAGGGAGAAGAGAACTATTCCGTCTAAGGTTTAGACTTCTTTTTGTTGTAATTGTTTTGGGAAAATATAGCAGTAAATTTTGTAATGGTATCAGTCTTCTATCTCTAGTGGTGTCTTTTCAATTATAGCAGTTTATTCATGTGGTAAATCCTCTTTTTATAATCCTAAAAAAAGATGATAATTCTAGATCAGTTATTGAGAACTTATAGGGTAGTATGAATATGACATATTGCTTTGCCATTTACAAATATATCATCTCAGAAACCATCCTCTCTCTTTTATTTGTTTAACAACTTTTTATATATGCTTCTTGACTATAAGAGTCTTTCCTCTGAGAAGGGAGATATATTTATGGAATGTTGGATTGGGCTTTGGAGGTTTTTATCACCAGGTGAAGTTGTTAACCAAATCTTTAATCCCTAAAAATTATCTCTTTATTGCTATATATTAAACTCTCCTAGAGTAGAATCTACCACATCTGACCTTTTGTATTTGATAGTAAGCTTTCAGGGTTAATCAACTTTTCTCTTGTTACTTCCTTAACATTATACCAAGGAAGGCTATTACTGGGGCTCTGTTGTTGGAGCTAAAACAACTGATAACAGTGAGATTCTAATAAAACAGGTGCTGACTAGAAGTATTCTTTTATATGTGTGCTTTAATGGCACAGGACCTGGCTATCCAAGGGACCATCTGTCTCTCATAATTTTGGTCTATCCTGTACAAATGGACAGAGTTGGCATGCAGTAGTGTCATCTGATGGGAGCCAGGAAGTGGTGGTCTTTGTCACAGCACCTGCCCTCTGAACAGCTCCCCCCCAAGAAGATTCATATAGCCCCTAACCTGCTCTTATTCAAACAGTCTTTAAGAACATGGCTTTTCCCTCAGACCTTGGGCTAGGGTAGGTGAATGTGTATGCTAAGTAGTATGCTTATTGTTCTGTCCAGATGGCATCATTCTTTCTTCTTTATTGTACTGTTTTTATTGTTGTATGCCACCCAGAGTCATTATGGAGTCAGGCGGCCCTATAAATCTGATAAATAAATAAAAAGATCTGTCTTTGATCCCTTGTAGCATATTTAATAAAAGGGGTACAGAATTTTAATTTTACACTTAAAATTTTTACAAACATTTAGTATTTATGATGGATAGAAAAATAGATTGAAGTTATCAGTTAAATAGTCTAAGTGAATTGTAAGGGCACAGTCATTCAAAAATATAGCACTGTTCTTGAAAACCATGTAAAACAGAAGATTAAATAGGTTAAAAAAAACAACAGCAAGGACCATAGCTGTAGATATAGGTAGT